CATTTATAGCACTGGGCTTGTATTATACCTTTAATTTCTTTCATTATCTACCAGCATTCCCTGAATTCCTGGGTAGTTAATGCTCACTTGAGTTCCCTGTCAGTCATGTTATACCGTATTTCCATTTTTCTCACCCATGTAATCTTCTCTGTGGATATGAATAGGCAAAACAGATCAGCCCGCGATGTTGGAGACTGAACATATTGCTTGTGCGTTTTCCAGTGATAGGAAGGAAAGCAGTGGTTTCTTGTGCCATATGGAGCCTCCCAGTTAGAGGAAAATGGATGCCTTGTGTTCAGAGGGTTTCAGGCCTGGGGAGGGCTGCTGACACCGTTCTGCACTGCCCCTCGCTCCCTCTCTCCCTCAGACACGTCTGCCTTTCCTCCCAGGTTGCCTCACCTCATCTCTAATCACAGATCCCACTCTTGATCTCCCCGATCTTACCAACCTTCCCTGTTCACTAGGTTCATCCTCCAGTTTCAAAGCTTTTCAGACCATGTCCTCCCTGTCCCTCCTGCTGTCCCAGCCCTCCCTCTCTCCTGCTGTTTTTAGCAGGCTCGCCGCTTCCATGGCAGTTTTCGGAGGTTTCTGTCTGCAGCGATGCCGTCGCTTCCCTTACAGACTCTCTCAGAGCTTCCCTGCTCTGCCCCATCCCCTTGCTCAGGCCCTCCCCACCGCTCCCAAAGCTGCTCCTAATCCTGACGTCTGTTCATCCTGCTGTGGTGCCTTTTTGGCATCCTCTGACTTGGCCGGCCGTTCTGGGCCGCCGCAGTGCCCCCGCGCCCCGTGTTCCCCGCAGGCTGCCCCCCCGGCCGCCCTCTGCCCCGTGGCTCACAGAACCAGCCTTTCCTCTCTGTCTGGAGTCCTCGTGTGCAATGACTTTTCGGTCTTAGCTGTAACTCTCTTCTCTGGGAGATGAAGCTCTTGGCATTTTGTGGCAGCAAACTTGTGGTTACTGTGGCCACGTATTAATGTTTCTGCATCAATTACCGTGGTGCTTTCTTCCAGAGCTAGATTGCAGTAATATAAAGGGTAGACAAGTGCTATTAATTATGCTAACATATAGAAATACTTTGATAGAGAAAGTCGATCATGCCATACTAGCCCTGCACATTTGTTGTTACGAGACTCAAAAAATAATTTCTTAGGCCTTTAGCACTGTAGGGAGTCATTCTTGGAGCCTAAATTTCCCTGGTTTTATTGATGAAGCTGGAAAACATGCAGATAAATAGGGAAAGTTGACTTGATCCTTAAAATGTCATTTTTAATCTGTATTCTCCAGATTTGAGGATGCTGGATACTAGATTTTCTAACTGCATCCATTATTTTCCTACTATTGGACATAAATTTAATCAGGTTCCTATGTTGAACCCCCACTTTATGGCAGTTTTATCTTGCCATACTTTTAGATATCTTGTGAATAGATTCAGAATAAACAGCAAAGATAATTAAAACATTCATAATCTTAAACTAGTAAAGACAAAACCCTCATTTTTTTGCATATCACATTGAGGCATACTCATCCGTTTTGCCGAGAAACATATTCTTCATTCCCTTTATTTCACTGGAAAATAGAAGCTCTGCCTCCATTCTGCTTTATCACGCAGTACATTTTGTGATTACAATGAAATCTTAATTATAGAGATGTCAGGGCAGCACCTGGCACTCTCTTGTGAAGTGGGCTGGGCTGGGCTGCGTGAGGTTTGGTGGGGTCCAGCCAGCCCATGTAGCCTGGCTATCCTGCTTTTCATGCATTCCTGGAAATGGAGAACAAAATCACGGCAAACTGAGCAAAACCGGGTCATGGCATTTATTTGGGATTCATGGTTTGTCAGTTGATGCCAGGCAGAGTCAGGAAGAGGCACGTCTCTCTTATGTCCAGCAGCTCCACTAACCTGGGAAGGTGCTATATTGATAACGAGCTGTTAGAGCAGTCAATAGGAATAATTAGCGGAGTGTTTTCCCCAGGAGCTACGGAAATACCCACTGGGGCATTTCGGCACAACAGATGGCACCGGGCTGCAGCATGTCAGGGCCTCGAGCCGCGGTGCCGCGCTCCCGGGCGCCGGTGCGTTGCAGACAGTTCTCGGGTCCCTCTCCCCCTCTCGCGGGTTCCTCCGGTCCAACCTCAAGCCAAAACCATTTCTGTACTTACAGATTGTGACTGTCAAAACTGTGCCGCGCTGAAGTCACAGTAGTGGGTGAGTACGGTCCTGTGAACAGGCAACAGCTGTCATCTCTCGCTCGCTGGGAGCGTGTGTCATGAAATCCTCCACTGGCGTCTGTGACTCAGGCTCGTACCAGTCACCCCCAAATAATCAGCTCTTCTAGCTGCGGGTGAAAGACAGCTTTCTCTTGTCAGCTCACAGAAAGTGAAGTCTCTGGAGCATACGTAATTGTTCCAGGCAGGTTTAGGATTTCTATTTTAGGGACAATCACATATTCTGTAGTGCTATGTTGTCATTTTTAGAAATCCAGTGTGTTGTGCACAAAAAGCAACATGCTGCTACTATGATTTTCTTCCTCAAATGTTGAGATTTGATTTTTCTTTAATGGGATTTCTTACTAATTCCTGAAGAAGATAATGAAACTGAAAAAAACAGTCAGTGCCTGTTCATCTAGCGTTGTCTGAACTCCAAGTCAGTAGAACGATGTATTTCATTTATTAAAAGTGACATCTCTGCTGATAGGTTCAAGGGCCTGGTGAGTGTTCATATCTAGATTTGTTTCTTGACTGCTGACTAGAGCATGCTTTCTAGATTGGTTGTAGTCATGGATACATGGAAATGACACTTTTGGTTTTGTTTTCCCAATGGCAATTTTACACACTGTTCCAAACATTATAATAAAGAATTGTCAAAAACTACCCTCCTGGAGTGATCACAGATCATGAGCACTTGCACATGGTTTAACTGCCAAGAAAATGCTCTGCTTTAAAGGTGCTCACTATAGCTGGATTCCCTTTTTGAGTATTAGTGACAGAAGATCAGTTAATGGATCAGCTCGCACGTAAAAAAAATCGGATTTGTTGCCTCAAATGGTTCAGCATTGTGTGTGCTAACATTCTGGATTTCAGAAAGAATATTTATGAACAAGCTGTAGCTGCGGTTACACATTGCTCACTACAGTCTCTCTAATAGATGTGGTAGGAAAAACCTCAATAAAATGCTGCCTGTGGCTGAAGATGCTCCTTCCAGGGCTGGATTCTGTCAGATAGGAGGCAGCAGGCAGCAGGTTTGCAGCTCCTGCAGGGTCTCGGACGAGTCGGCCACCGGCTCCAGGTGTTCCCTGTGTCCTCGCCGTTGCCTCGTGGCTTCTCAGCCCAAGGCCCGTCCGGTCCCGCCGTGAGTGAGCGGTTCGCGGGGCGCAGGGGCGAGGGGAGGTGACACACCGGGTGTGCGGCTGCGGCTCGGGGCCCGCGGGAGGACAGGCAGCACCACCCTCCCCACATGGTCTTTCACGGAGGCTCCCGGAGCGTCCTGGAGGAGGAGATGTGCATCTGCCTGTCGGTGTTGCTCGTGGAGTGGAGTGGGAGTGCAGGGAGATACGTGGTAGGAGCTGGGCCAGACTCTGTTTTCCATTTCATTTGGCAAAGTTGTCCGAGTTCTCATGCAGAAAATGTCCCACAAAAGTGACAATAACAATATTTTGGATATAAGCCTAGCACAAAAGGGTAATAGGAACTCCACGGGCATGCGTGGGCTTTTGATTCATCCTCAGAGATGGCAGATGTGCATTTATTTAAGATCTGGGAGTGGGACTCGGAATATTTATGGTGAATTCTTTGCTCCCCCTCTTCCTGTGTGATTTTGGTCTCCACTGTCAGTCAAACACGGGGTCAGTGCTCGCTGCTGACCATCTCATGCATCATTCACGCTGCAAATCCCCCAGCTCGTGCCAAGCACTTCTCTTCATCCCACCTTCAGAGCCTTCTGGGGAGGAGATGCCGAGGGTCCCCTTGCGTGGTCAGGGCCTCCAGGTAGAAGTGTCAAGGGCTGGCGGGTGGAGCTGAGCAGGGGGCAGCTCGGCCCATTGGCGAGTTCTCTGACACATGTCTGGCCGCTTCGAGAGCACGCGGGGCTCGGGGTAGAACACAACAGTTCCTGGAACTACAGTGCCTGTTGGTCCAACCGCCTGGGCAGAAGGTAAAGCCCGTGCAGCCGCCAGCACTGATGGCGGGGGGTGGGCACTGTGGGCTCCCTTTGCAGCAGAGAACTGAGCTGGGGGGGCGGAAAGAGGCGGCATGTGAGATGGGAGCAGTGCCGTGTCCTGTACCTTGGCTCTCGGGACCCTGTTCAGTTATTTGTTTGTCTGTGACACTCTCAGCTATATGGCAGTGGGGACTGTCTCATTACTGTGATAAATAGACCGATCTCTTTTATTTATTTAAGACTGATAATACATTAGATCACAGCAATAGTTTAGCAGAAATAATTTCGTTTGTGGTGGTTGCTGATCAAGGCAATAGATAGCTGAAGTGTTACAGCAGCGCTGTCCTGGTCATTACTCCTCCCCATGACTCTGGAAAAAACCCAGACCTGGTACGGGTGGGTTTGCACATGAAGAGAGTGGGGGGCAGTCCCCGTCCTCCGGCTCTGTCCTTGGGAAGGGGCGAGTACCGGAGCCGATGTGCATGAGCAGCTGCCCGCCAGGTGCATGGGCAGCAGCGGCCGTGCGGGGCTCGCCGGCGTCCTCCGCCCTGCCACGCTCTGGGTGTGCTCACGCACTGACGGCATCTCGGGGAGGCTTCTCCTTGAGCCACAGGCCCAAGCTGTATTTTAAGCGGCTCTAAACCACCTATTTAGTAACCTGATTCAACGCGGGTTACCTGCTGGAAGTACCTAGCAAAGACAAACACCTGCTCTCCTGCGTCTTCCCTGGAGACTTTTAATAAAAGCTTGACCAGTGTTCTTTAGTTGTGTCTTTGTCTTCTTTTTAAATATAAGATCTTTGCAGTAAAGCATTTACAAATTTAAATTCTTTTTTTCTTTACCTTGTAGTGAACTTTGACCACTTCCAGATTCTCCGGGCGATTGGGAAGGGAAGCTTTGGCAAGGTAGGCTTGAACGCTTGCTCTTGAGTTTGCTTGTATGTTTTATCAGGTGCCTGCTCTTATGTACTTAGGGTTTATTGAAACAGTAACGGTGCTGAAACAGGCTATTTTTATTGTCGGATTATGGGTGCTAAGTAAATACAGGAAAAATGTGTTCATACCTTGTTGCCATTTGGCTTTGCTTTAATTCTTGGCAGTTTGGTGATACTGCTGTATTTTAAACTGCCAGCACAATTGTGACCATTTTATGGCAAATGTTCATTATGCTTTTTGTTTCCTGTGAGTGTTTATAGGTTGTGAGGAGGGACAGTTAATCAGCAGCATGTTGGAAGTTGTTCTGGGTGATTGACCGAGCTGGTACGATGTGGTCAAGAGGGTTCTCTGAAGCCCTGGGCTGTTTTCCCACTCAGAAATGAGTTATGCTGAAGAGTTTTTGTTGTTTATTTTTAACAAGGTTTTTTTGCCAGGCATGTGGGAGAAGGTGGGAGGTGATGATCAAAAAGCTGGATAGCTCTGGAAATCAGCTACTGGTTGATTTCCTAGATTTATTCCTTTTTCATTCCCTTTTTCACTGACTCAGTCCCTGTGCAGATAACTGTTTGCTGCTCCTCTCATGGCATTTCACACCATTTATTTGCACTGCAAGCACACAGCTCGGTGTGTACGTGCGTGCCCACGTGTGTCTGTCCTTGCACACACGCGAGACTTCATTGCATTGGTGCTGTTTGTGATCATTTTGTCACCTGCATTTTTTGTGCCCCAGCAGTAGTTGTGCCCCTCTGTTCAGCTGGGATGGCGGCACCGAGGGACAGGAGCTGGGTGAGGGCAGACTGGTGGCGACTCACGGAAACGGCTGCACGTGGTTGTAATCTTCTCACGTGAGGGTTGCATGGCGTGGGGCTTTGTGCCAGGACTGGGTGTCAGGGTGGGGCAGGGAAACGGCCTTTGAAACTCTGCAGAATGTCTGACATTGACTGTGTGAAGGAGGAGGAGGGCGCAGGCGCCGCCGCGGCTCCGCGCGCTGCTGAAGTCAGCTGGAGGCCAGCTGAGCCGCCGAGGAAAGCTGTGCCCTCTCCCGTTTCTTTCCGGTCTGGTCATCTTGGCTGGTTCCTCCCATTTTATTTTGATCGAAAACTCACACCACGAGGGTAAGAAAATCTGAATCAGGCCCAGGAGATGAACCATCCTGTCCTTTTCTTTTTCACTCTAAGGAGGCAGCGTCACCCCGGGCGACGGCCTGACCTGCTGCCCTCGGGGCTCGGGAGCTTGCTCGGGTGGCTGGAAACTTGGCAAAAGCAGAAATTTCTCAGGAGATCTGAGACCAGAAGAGCTCAGATTTTTACCGATTACTGAAAATCTCTTTTTACATTCTTAAAATGTATTAAGTGGCATCAGTTTTGAGGGGCAGTAGCAGCACAAAATCCGATGGCAGCCTCGGTGAGGCAGAGTCCAGCTTGTCTTAGAGTCAAGCGAGTGGACACTGTTAGTCATGGTGCTGTCATTAGCACAGCTAGCTAACAACAATGTCTTGTCACAGCCTCAGTTAACTGATGAACACCGAGGTATCTGTTTCACTGTTCTGGCGTGCTCGGGGCACAATCTGTCCGTGCGAATTCCCGCCGGGCTGCCTTGTAAGTCTGCATGGGGCTAATGAAAATGTAATGGCGACAGCGTGCAAGTCGTGGAGAAGGTGGTTTTAAGGAGTCGCCCATACCTGCAGCCATGTCTCTTGAACAAGAAGAGACAAAAGCTGGCAGCAGAGCTATGTCAGATTTCTGAGGTTATATTAGACGATGGAGAATGTTAAATACAAGCTCAGGTCCTTCCTTAGGGCAGTGCTGTAAAGATTAGGCAAACAGCAGAGGAAGGTCTCCCCAGACACACAGGAGCTCTGAGGGTCTTGTGACTTCTGCTCATCGTCAAAGACCAAAATCTGACTCAAAATCTTCCTACAAAATGGCAGCTAACATTTTTTTTCAAGCTCATATGAGAAGACTCATTCTTCCAAATATGAGCTTTTAAAAAAAAGAGGTTTTATTCTGTTGAGCAGTAGCACTTGGTGCTGGAAAATTAATTCTGCTTAGAACATGAAAAGGAGAAAAAAAATATTCTTGTCCCAGGGCAGGATCTTTTTGGCTTTGAAGAGAGCTGCTCCTCATGGTTGCTTCCTTTTCTGTTTATGTTAAAGTAAGGTTAAGTCTAGCACATAGCAGTCTATCAGGCATCAGAATTGTATATACACTTCTAACAAAATGCTGAAATGATTCATCTGTCATCTTTCTGGATAATTATGTCAATATGCTAAATTTCCTTTGATACTGAGAAAAGCTTTTTACATTTGCAAAGTCATTTACAACTCACAATTACAGAAAATGTACCTGAAAACTGTTATTTGAAATTTATGAGTAATTTAGTTGCTTTGGTTGATTTAAGCACCGTCTGCCCACATTCAGGAAGGTATTCCGGAGCCAGGGTCCCGTCCATCTCAAAGGGGGGTGCAGACCCTCCGTGTGCAGTGAGTGACCTGTGAGATCTGTGCTGCTGTGTGATGCCAGAGTGACGAGCCCGAGGAGGCAGCAGCTCGCTGGGTAGCTTTGGGTCAGGCATTTCCTTCCCACTCACATTTTGTGCTCCTCTCAGGGCAGACCGTGTGGCCCTCGGCACAGGAACTGTACCTCGGGAAGGAAAGGGGAGCTCAGAAATCACTTTTGAAGAGGCTGGAGAGCCCCTAAGCTGTGGCTCTGGCATATCTGCAAAACCTGGGCAATTTCTCTTTCCTGGAGATGGGTTTATTCATCTCTAATATGCTATGAATCAAACAGAGCTCATGCTCAATTCCATGTTTACTCAAATTAGCAAATGTGTAATATTTTCCATATGTATTAGGGGTAATATTACTTGATTTTCAGTGTTTTAATGGGAGTGCTGTGTTTCTCCCATAGCCCAGGCTCCTTTCTCAAGCAGCAGCAGTTGCCCAGGTGTGAGCTGCTCCGTTGCCATTACCCAAGGAGCAGGAGCCAGAACAGGGTTTCTAGAATGTGATGCAGTTTGTGACCCCCCTGTTTTTATGGGAAGTGCCCTGCGAGTTTCATTATGCTTCACGGGAGACGTGATGAGACCCTGGAATCTCAGAAGGTGTTGGTGGCAGTGCAGCTAACCTGATGTCTCCCTTCTTAAAAATTGACCTCTCCTGGCTTCGGTCTTTGTTCGAACTGGGAGGCAGCCAAGGGAGTGTTGGCCCCCGTATGCCTCCTCCCACCTGGGCTTCCCTCTCAATTCTCCCTCAAATCAGCCACCGCCGCCTTTTTCCTAAGGGGCAAAGAACTGCACAGGGTTATGGGAACTCATTATTTTCACTTTACTGCTGTGAGGAAATGAAAACGTATCTGAAGTTCTTCAGCACGAATTTATGTCTTTGTCTGCTGGTGGAAATAAGGGATTAAACCAGGGGGTGAGGGCTGCAATGACCAGCAGCATGAAACTAAATTTTCCAGAGAGAACAAATACGTCTTGGGGTGGGTGGGCCCATGCAGGCAGCCCACAGGGGCCTGGCGGGTGTTGCTGTCGTTTCTCTTTTTTTTTTTTTTCTTTGAGTAATTTGTGAATGGGACCAGTGAAGGTTCAGGGGAACCTGTCTGGAACTAAAGAGGTTTTTACAGCTTTCAGGCTGCATGCTGGGGGCCTGGAGAGCAGGGACCCCAGACAAACCCGCGGGCTTTTGGTGCACGGGGCAGCGGGTGGGGATCGGGCAGGAGCTGTGGTGGAGGACAGCCGTGAGGGACAGCCGTGAGGGATGGCTGTGAGGGACAGATGTGAGGGACAGCCGTCCTCAGCATGGCGGGGTGAGCGTGGAGCACGGCGGGGCCGGCAGAGGAGGCCGTCAGCTTGGGCCAAGGCTCTGGTGGCCCTCCCTGCTCAGGCTGCGGCTCCCGGCCGGTGCCTTCTCCCTGCCCCTTCCAAAGAAAGTTCACTTGTAACACAGTTTGCCTTGCAGAAGTGCTTCGACTTCATGATTTTGTTGCTTTAATAATTCACACAGCCTGAAGCTGGGTATAGAAAAGCTTTAATCCATTTTCTAAAGGTCATAAATGCCCACCCAGTTGATATACCATAAATAAAATTCCCTTAAAGTCTATTCTCAACTGAATCCCTCTTTGATATCAAAGGATCTTTGATCCTTTGTCGTTTTTTCAGACTTTATAAAGGTTGGATTTTTCCCTAAAAAGAAAGGCCTCAAACATAATCCTTTGATATTAACATACCACGGGTATTTTTTGCCCTTGTTTTTTCCTTTGCTGTAGTGGAGTTCGCGTGAGGCCGAGGGTTTGTCAGGGCCACAGGCAGGGTCTCAAGACACACGTCCCTGCCAGCCATTGGCCCCATTGCTCGTTCGCTCACTGGTGTGGCCCCGACCCTGGCGTGGGAGGGCAGCGGGAGGACCCGCCACGTCATCGGGAGGCTCCAGAGGTTGAAATGTGTTTGCTTTCCAAAAGGGCTGTTGGTTAATGAGAGGGGGCAGCCAGGTGAGGGGTCTCCACGAGTCCCAGGATGCCAACAGCCTCTGGTGTTTGACCACCTGGCCCCACCTGGGTGACTTTTGCTGGGTGGCCCCAGCCCTGGGGGAGGGAAGGGCCCTGCTTGCTGGGCACTGTCCTGCTGGGCCCCCAAAGCTGCACAGGGTGTCGTGTGGGATGTAGGAGGGTCCTCCAGGCAGGAGATACACAACTGCAGGAGTAGGGAGTGATGCGGGGGATGTGGTGTCTGGCACAGGGGCAGCTCCCCTGGCTGGGAGCCCAGCTCCCTCCTCTGGCAGTGACCAGGAGTGGGTGTGTGAGAGCACGGAGCACACGGAGGGTGATCCTCCCTCGGATACAACTCCTAGTTAGTTTTTAATGATATATTTTCCTTTCTTGGACGTTGCTAAGCTGTAAATGTGTCATTAGTAAAAGCCATGGGAGAGAGAATGACAAAGAATGAAAAGCCGAAGTGGTCCAACAGTACCT